AGTCATATGAACAAAATGAAGTGCAGTTGTTTGTGCTGGAGCGGATATAGGTAGTTCTCAGAGCTGGTAGGGGCCTGCGGAGAGCTACTCCAGGGTCACTGCTGGCCATAATGACTTATGTATTCATTAAAAGTTTGCTAGGACCTCTGCTTATCAACTTTAGCTGTGTGTGAAATTTTGTATGCATTTCCGAGTAATAAAACTATATTTGTAAAATACTTCTAATTTGAGACTTTTACTATTTTCATAAATACCGTATTATGAATGTTTTACTTGGAATCTAGGTGAGGTGTAATGTTACTTTCCAGATCATGTCACTGTGCTTTACTTGACTCAGAAGGGGGACCTGTGAGATCACGTGCAGGTAACTCAAGCCCAGCCTTCAGGTGATGCGTCCAGTGCCCTCATGAACACGGGGAGTGTAGAACTATCCTTAGACCATGGAGGACCCAGGAGTAGTGATGCTTCAAGTTTCTTCCCTGAAGTCTCACCCCCACTCCCACCCCACCCCCGACATACACACACCCCTTGTCTAGCAAAGTCCACCTGGTTTATGTGTAGCACAAGTGCCGTCTTGTCCTGGTTAGTCTGTTTGCACAAGCTAGAGTCATCTGGGAAGAGGAACTTCAGCTGAGGAAACGCTTCAATTGTAGGCAAGCCTGTGGAGCTTTCTTGATGGATTGATGTGGGAGGGTCCAGCCCACTGTAGGTGGCATCAACCTTGGGCAAGGTGGTCCTGGATTGTAGAAAGCAAGGTAGGAAGCCCTTCACTGCTTCCTATTCAATTCCCACCTCAGCTAAAACAAACTCCCCATGCTGATTTTGGTTGTGGTTATAAGAATACATCTTTGTATTCTAGCCACTTGATAAGGTAGAGGAACTCAGCGCATCTCTGATGGGAACAGAGAAGCTAAAGTACAGAACAAGCAAGCAAAGGCGTCCAGGACAATAAATTGGAATGGACTCTGAAAACAAGTCTCTGTATCTCAGTTATCTGATTTGTCAGTTGCACATATCCTACAAAGGAATCTGTCACCTTCAGTCCTACCTGCTAAGTCAGCTTTGAGCTCCAAAGGCTGCCAAAAAATAAAGGTTCACAGTGCCCACCAAGCTAGGGAAGTGTTAACTATCAGAATGGTTGCTGTCTTGGCAATGGTCTGCGGTATCAGCAATTTTCTCCTAACTCCACGTTAGGAGATATGACCCCAGTTTAGTCAACCATCTTTTAGGCAACAAGTTAGTTGACTGCTATGATAAACCATAGGTTTGCGAACTACTGTTTCCAGGTTACAGACTCAGCAATTAATAAACTGCCCTCCTCCCATTATGAATGAAGAGACAAAATAGTAAAAGGTGATTATAATTGCACATACCTGCTATGGTCTGAGCTATAGAAAACAGAGCCACCTTAGACTAGGCACAGAAAGGCCACACTTCTACCCATGGTAGGGTATTATCAGAGGTTGTGGTTCCGGTTTCTTCCCAGTACTTACTGACCCATTGTTTCTACAAACTCATCCATTTGTATCGAAGATCACCCACTAACCCTTATGTGATGGACCCTGTGTATTTTATGACAGCCGCAACAGAGGAAGTTAATGTCTCTTCTTGGTGCCCTTTGGTAAACGTAGGTAGGGATAAACTCATTTTGGAAGATGATTGTGTGTTTTCTTGCTCTAATCAGTACCCAGGAAGGAAAGCCAAACATGGCATCAATGGAGACACAGGGAAAGGAGGGCATCATAATGAGCCTGGTGTTCTGATTTAAGACAGGCCATGCCAGAAATTCCACAAGTCAAAAGAAAGTGGGCTAAGGAGACCATGGAATTCTCGGGAGAAATACAAATGACTATTTTTTTTTTAAGTCTTTAGCATTCAGCTTTCATCAGAAGAACAAAGGGCAGATGCTGGCAACGGTGTGTGGAAAGAAGAACCCTTATTAGATGTTAGTGGGGACAGTAAACTGGTGGAGCCATTCCTCCAAGAGCTAAAAGTACAACGACCATTTAGACCCGCTGTACTACTAGGTATGTGCCCAAAGGACCATGTATTGTAATTGGATACTTGGTTCTCCATGTTAGTTGCTGCTTTGTTCACTGTAGCAAGGAAATGGAATCAGCTTCGATGTCCATCAACACATGAATGGGCAATGAAAATGGGGGTACATATACACAGTGGAATTTTATTAAGCTGTAAAGAAAATGAAAAAATGAGATTCTGTACTTTGAGGAAAACGGGAGAATTTTTTATTAACTGAGGGTAACACAGTTTTGGAAGTAACAACATATTCTCTCACATGCAGATCTTAGCTTCTAGATTTTACATATGTGTATTTATGAGAGTGAATGTGGGCAGAAGCCAGGAAACTAGGAAGGGAACCATAGGGTGGTGGGGAGTGGGTGTAAAGAATCCTTAAGGGAGAGGAGTGCAGAAGGGTAATGCCAGGAGGGGAAGGGTTTACACTGGGGTGTGGGCAGGGAGATGGGAGAGAGCAGTGTGTGGGGGAATGCCAACCAGAAGCAAGTGTGTGTGGAAATGCCATAAGGAAACCTGCTACTTTGCAGGCTAAAATAAAAATGTTAAGTATGCATAACATGTTACCACCACTTGTCTAGAGGACAGAGTATATCAACTTACTCTTAAAATTCAATCATTTTCTCATCTCTGCTCATTTTAGTGTCACCCAATATTGCTTTCACTATTCTTATAAGTACACCATGCTTTCGCATTAATGCACATGGGTTTGTTGTTGAAGAGACACCATGACCACGGCGACTCTTAGAAAGGGAAACGTTTAACCGGGGCTGGCTTACAGTACAGAGGGTTAGTTACTGTTGTGGAAGAAGAATGGCAGGGTACAAGCAAACATGGTGCTGGAGAAGTAAGTAGCTGAGAGTTCTACATCGCATCAGTGAACAGCAGGGGAAGAGACACTGGGACTGGCTTGACCTTCAGAAACCTCAAACCCCACTCACCTCCAATAATGCCACTCGCTATGAGTTCATGAGGGTCGTTTTCACTCACGCCACTACACTGGAGAAAATAATAGTAAATGCTATAACTCTGGTCACTGACAGTTTGAATCAACCACCATTCTGGGCATTTAACATACATAATTATTTTAACACATGTCACCCTGTGTCATGGGCAAGGACGTATCAAAGAAATGGTCTGTAGGAATGTCTTGAGCTATTGACCTCCACCCTTCCCAGTGGCAGTAATCTTTTATGAGTGAAGACTCACAGAGAAAAGGCAACTGTAGTGTCGCTTTCCATCCCTATCTAGAGAGACTATTTAGCGGGGTAAGTGTATGACCTTTAGCATCAGAAAACTGGGTTGAAATCCTGTCAAAGTGTGTCCCTCTTAACTTCAGCACTATTATAGCCTAATTCCATTCTCTGCTTGCCCAACAAAGCCTCTGCTCTCCTTCAGCTACCTCCTGTTTCAATACTAGTTGATGCAATTGTAAATCTCTTAGGCCCTGTGATGATTAATATCAACAAGTTGACAAGATCTAGAACCACCAAAGACACAGAATCAGGCCTCTGGACGTGTCTGTGAGGGAGTTTCTAGATGAGGTTAATCTGGGCTGGACCATCCCATGGTCAGAGGTCCTAGACCACATGAAAACCACGCGTCACTTCCCAGCTGCAGATACAATGCCAACAGCTGCCTCAAGCTCCTGAAACTGAGCAAAACAAACCCGTTTCAAGGGCTTTTATTTGTCTCAACAACAAGGAAAGTAATGTAGAGCCTACCAATCCCACAATCCAACTGTAAAATAGATTTCAAAAACAAAAAAACAAAAGCAACTCCCATGGAACTTTGGCTGTAATGGAGATCCAGGACCTTTCTTCCTGATCAGAACTTTCAGTGTGACAGAGAAATGTCTTCACCTCCTGATTCTGCAATCTTCCTAACATTCAAGTACTCAATGTGTTTCCCAAATTTCTTTTGTATCTTGCATCCCTCTTAATGGCACTACACACAGATTAGCTGTTTCCTAGCTATTGTACATTCTATCGCACACCTCCAAAGTTAGCCATGGCCTTGCCACTCAATTGTACTCTCATCACTGTATTGCATGCCAAATACACATATTCAAAGATGCAAATGTATGGTCACAGCCCAAATGAAGGTTCCGGTCTAGTTGGGGAGATCCTACTACCACCCACTAAAGAGAAAATTTCAACTCTGAAGAAACTGACAGGTGGAAGCATCTGTCAGGAAATATGACCATGCAAACTAGACTGGATGTCCTGGACACTAAGAGGTAAATAGCATGACTTTTCTCTATGGGTTTCCAGTAATTGTTTATGGAATGAATAATCATCACAAAGTAAGCATTCAGTATTGAGCAGGGGGAATCTCACAAATGAGAGGTGAGAAAGAATGTCAACTACACTAAATACCAAAAGCTCCAGCCAGTATGAAGAACATTTATGGCAACTAAGGGGACCCTTTCACAGGGGTCACCTAAGTCCGTCAGAAAACACAGATATTTACAATTCATAGCAGTAGCAAAATTAGTTATGAAGTAGCAATGAAAATGTTATGGTTGGGGCTCCCCACATTAAGAAGGTAGAGAACCACTGTTCCAGAGTAAACAAATTACTGTATTTTAAATATATATAGCCTCTCATCTGTTTCCACCAACCAGCTCCATTGTTAAGTCATACATTCAATTCCTCGTTTTCTTGCTATTAACTCCGATTTTTCCCTTGTTATTTTGTTTCATGGAATTCCTCACTCATTTGAAACACAGCCCCTCTTCCATGAGGCATGTTCTTCCTTACCCACTGCTCAAACCCTGAGCTCTACAAAGCCTTCCTATCCGTTTCCATTGAGACCTATTGTGCAACCTCTTCCTGGTACTTAGCATGTTTTGGTGTGACATACCCACTTTAGGTAACTTAATGGCTCACTATCACAGAGTCTACAGGACTAGCTTTCTGTATTTGACACTATCATTCAACACACAACAGGAAATCAGCTTAGTGTTTGTTAAATTGGTGAATTTTATTGCATATTTCCTTATTCAAGCACCACTCAGCAACATAGTAAATGACAAGTCAATTTAGGAAGAACTTAATTTTGCAGAAATTCTTGACTTTCCTTGTCCTTACTTCACCAACACCTACAGTTCAATAATGTGGGAAACTGCTTTAAGGGGTTCAGTTAATGAAACCTAAGTAACACAGTTCAGTAATTAACATTAAGAGGGAAATCTCAAACAGATGAGAAGTGTGTGTGAAAAGCAAACTATTGAATGTCTTGGTGAAACAAGTCATGCAAGGCGCTGGCAGGAACTGATGGATCTCCACTCGCTGTAACGTGGGATCCTTGTGCTTTGGCTACAAAGGCACATGCGGTGAGACTGACAGTTTGGAAGGTTGAGAAATTGCATCTAATTCCCCCAAGAACATTTCTTTCCATTTTGCCTGATTCGAACCACTGAAATTGTGCGGAGACCCAATCTTCAGCTTGCAACTTGACATGGCATAGCAAAAACTTAGTAACACATGGATTCCCCCTCTCTCCCCTCCAGATCATTCTCTTAGATCTTACAAGTAGCTTTGTGATCTTGAGCAAGTTTTTGGCATTTTTTATGTTTTTATTTCAACATATTTATTTGGTTAATATGGCACAGGTGTATTATTGCCACAAACTAATTTCTTTAAGGTAGCAATGCAGATACATAACTCTCTTATTATTTATAGCACTCAAGAAGTTTCTTAGTGAAAGGGTGTCTAAATGATGAACCCAAATAGAACCATTTGTTAGGAACACAAGAGTTAGTAACAGTTATAAAACAGAGTCAGATGCTTACAAATCCAACACTTGGGTGAATACAGCGGGAAGATTGTAAATTCAAAGCCAGTCTAGGCTGCCAGTAAAGCCCTACTTCAGAACACAAGAACAACAAACTCTGCACACACAGTTTTATGACTGGGTAAGGAAGGAAGCACTCTTGCCCCATAGACCTCCAACTACTTGAGAATGTCATCAGATACCTGTAAGCACATGGGCAGCACAGCCACACTCTAGTGTAGTGAGGAAGCATTGCATGGACAAGGAGGACCTAGACAAGGCTTTCCCTCCTCTGCCCAGAGACCATGTGCTATCTATGAGTGAAGGGTTTCTGGGGCTCTTCTCAGAAATGCCTTTGCTTACTAACAACTCAAAGGGTGGTCTGGCTTCTGGGCTTTACTGGAAGGAAGTACTGTGTCAGGTATCTGTAGTTCAGCCTCAAAACTTCTTGTGAACAGTAGGTGTTATCAGCACCCTGTTCTCATGCTGCAGGAAACAGAACATGAGAGGCAGACAGGCAGGAGGACATTTGTGGCAACGTGGAAGTTTCAGGGTAACCCCAGTCCTTGCTCCAGAAGTGTGGCCAGCTCTAGGCAGCTTCAGCATGCTCACTTCCTAGGCACGTTGCCCTGGTTTCTGTGTGTGAGGCAGGACAGTTAAACCAACAAAAGACACAGGATTGAGACGGGAAGAGAGCGGGGTCACAAGGTATGGAAAACAGCCTGTGGCTTTTCTCATTTGATGTGCTATTCTTTGGTGGCAAATCCAAAAGCAGATGTTCAGAAATAGCCTAAGTGTCCCCAGCATCCCACAGAGTGTGCATGGCTTCCAAGAGGCACCATTTAAAGGATAATGTTTAATTGATTCTAAAAGCTATGAGAGATCTGCTTTTAGAGTACTAATGTTTAATTTTATAAACCACTTTAAACAATGATCACAGTCTACGACATATCCCAGTGTGTAGAGGGTGGGGCAGGGTAGTGCTCTTCATTTCAAAGGTGAGGAAGTGCAGTGCTGTGTTCTGCCGTGGCCACAGTTAAGAGCAGGCTGTGGACACCGATGAGGCACCAGAAGACAAAGAAGGAAATGAGCAGTATGGGCTGTCCACGGCTGGCCTTATGGTCACAGGCTTTGGGAGATGCCACACAGCGTATCAGAGAAAGACTGAGCACCGACATACCCAGTGCCACTGAACAACTGCACATCACTTAATCCTTCTGAGGCCCAGGTACCCTCTCCGTAGATGCCTGGTGAAATGCCTAGCTAACTGCATGGGGAGCACCAGTTCTTCTCTAGGAAAAGATATTTTCTGAAAACTCAGGGTGGCAACCTATTTGTAGACTAAGAGTGTTTGGGGGCTGAAAACCAAAACATCAAAATTTATTACACATAATGATAAACATTTATCATATATATATATTCAGTTTTAATACATGCTTCACTGTGGGTTACACCAGCATTTCAGAGAAATTCTCAGACTATAACATTAAAAAAGTCTTTGGGAATGCTGCCATTACTGAAATGAGTCTCTACAAATTTTACTACCTTAATTAAAGTGGTCCTTTTTAACTGGTTGAAATAAAAATAAGACATGAATCATAGAGAAGATAAATTTAACTTGACACTATGGGGCATATTAAGTTCAATTTTAAGATCACTCTGTGTCATATTGACTAATTTATACTTTTAAGTACTTTATATCATTTATAGTTGATTAAACACCTCTAATCAATTTCCACAGAAAGTTGGCTATTTGGTTCAATTGTGGGGAAATGAGGTACAATTTTTAAATAACTTTAAAGCATAAAATTTTAAAGAAGACTGTAACGTCCTTAAGCATTTAGATGGGTAGAGTCAAAACCCCAATACTGACAGTTCATGAGTATGCCAACAGTTCCCACAGTGGCTCAGTAAAAATGTAAAATCCACAAGATGTGAATTTTACAAGCCTCATCCCATCTTTTAACCCTTTGTGCTGAGGCTATTATGGCACACTGACTGAGTGCCCCTTTGGGGTTGACAGAATGAGCACTGAGCGATGAGGAAGATGAAGTGAAACACAGATTAGACAATGGAACATCATTGCTTATTCTTATAATTCCAGCTACGCAGGCTGGACTGGCTGGGTCAGAATTACCCATGATGGAGGTTCAAGAATCTTGTTTTAGTCAGGTGGTAGAGGCACACACCTTAGAACCCGGAACTCCAAGGTAGAGGCAGGTGGACTCTGAGTTCAAGGACGACCTGGTCTACAGAGTGAGTTCCAGGACAGTCAGGGCTACATAGGAGAAACCATCTTGAAAAACAAAACAAATTTAAAAGAATCTGGATGACTTCTGCCTCCTGCTCAGGTTTGACATACCCAACTTGAGCATCAAGAAACAGCAAAGGATGAAGTTAAAAGTAATTACTCCAAATGCATGACTCCCAGTGTCAGACAATGGCTCAGAGGCTAACACGTACTCAAAGTACTTTTTTTTTTTTGGGGGTATTAAAGTCTTAAATCAACAGATAACAAAAACTTGATACTTCCCAATAATTTAATACGATATAGTGCATGGGAGGATGGGTCTTGTGACACAGAGGGGAAGGTAGAGTTCAGTAGAGGTCAAACATCAACATAGTTCTTATAAGAAGGTAAATGATAAACCCTTCCATCTTTGAACCCATGCTCTGGTTGACTTTCTCCTCAGGAAAGATTGAAGAATGAGGTCACCAGTGGCTTCTTCCTATTTCAAACATGTTAGAAGGGGCTGGAATGATGGCTCAGAGGTTAAGAGCACTAACAATTACTCCAGGAAACCACATCTGGCTGCTCCTCCAAAGGTCCTGAGTTCAATTCCCAGCAACCACATGGTAGCTTAAATGTATTAGGATGCAGAGTGAGGCTGCCTGACGTCTTAAATTCCTTTTCTCTAGATTTCCAATCTTCTTGTTTGAGACAGACATGAAGCTGGACTGAACCAAGGCTGCTGTTGGGTTAACACCACAGATCTTTCATCGGGTCTGAACCTTGGCCTTGGCCGTCTAGAACATGAGAGAAGTTAAGCATGAACACAGGGAGGGACAGTGGTGGTGAAGCTGAAGGACAGGAGACAGCCTAGGAAAGGGCAGCGGTAACAGAGTGAGGTAGAAAACTCCGTCTCAGCCCCCAGGAAGACTGAGGGGCCCAGACCCTTGGAGGCAGGTATGTCAGCCCCTTGACGTCCTAAAGTGCCCCTGGTATGATTGTACTGCCCTTAGCCCAAAAATGTTGGAAATATTTACATTTTCTTTTTTCGACTTACGAGATGACAGATTTGGTACAACTACAGATGGAAAATGACATAAACGGGCAGATTATGAGAAAACCCCTCATAACACGGGTAGAATGCCCCTTAGAAGCAGAGCCTTCAGAATCACCAGCTGCAAGTGGGCTTGGTAGCTGGGTTAGACCAGCACATAGATTCTGTGCTCATTACTGGAGAGGCAAGGGAGACCAGAAAGATACCCATGTCACAATGGAGAGGCTGTAAAGAGAAAGTGGGCTTCTCTTCCCATTTTATAGTATTGGTTTCCGTCACCAGAAAATACACATGGTCCAAGCACAACCGGCCCCCAAGTACAGAAGTAGCTCACCTGTGCCCCTTGTGAGGCAACAACATCCCTACCAGACAGAAAGACTCCTCAACTCATCTTCTGTCCCCCCCATAGGAGAAAATCATCTACAAATACGCTGACCCTCATGTGCCCGATACATTTCTACACATCGTAGATCTTAGAGTTATGGTTCAGTTTTCACATTTCCAGGCAGAACTCTTGCTCTTTGGCAGTCTTTAAACTGGACCTGACAGACATCACACCCCTCAGCCCAAGATCCCCCCAACATCTCCATTAACAGCAAACAAACACATCCAGTACTGGTGGTTCAATGCCACATGGACACGGATGGAGAACCTCTTCCTGACACTGCTCAGCAGCTGGGCATCAACAGCGTAAGGGGCTCTTAGGACGGGTGCGTTGGCACCAGCTGGAAGCATGGGCTTTAACTGCATTTTTTGTCATTTTGGCTAGGGAGATCTGGACAGCTGGAAGTGAGCTTCTCCATCATTTTCTGTTTCCTTCTTTGTATCAATTTTCCACCTGTGAAGCCCAACACCCCGCCACCAAGTGCAGCTGCAATCCCTGCCACTTTGAAGCCTGCGAGGAGGCCGATGGGACCCCCCACCACTCCTCCGATGAGTGCACCTGCCACAGGCAGGGCTGCCAGCTTGTATTTTGCAGCCTGTAAAAGAAAAAAAATTCAATTTAGAAAGTGAGTTGAGAAAATCTGCCTGTGGGGATGTGCGCTTCCTCTCATTACTCCTGGCAAGGCCTCTTTAATGCTGGGTTCATAATTAACCTTAGAGATTATTCTGTTTGTGTGTGCGTGTGCGTGTGCGTGTGTGTGTGTGTATTCCACAGGTACTGCCATTGCTCCAGACCACAGAACTAAGGGAGCTTGCTCCGGAGTGGACAGCTACAAATTGATTTTACTTACAAAACAATCAATCCACTATGTGGCTGGCTTATTTACCCCATCTCAGCAGCCACTGTCGGCCAGCGAAGCTTTGACCCAGCACAGGTTACTCCACACTAAGCACCTGGGCTGAAACCACATCGTACACACAACAGACGGTCACACTCCTGAGTGCCGCTGCAGTCTTCACGCGTGCTCTGCCTGGACTAACTGCTGCTCTCCCTTCGCCCTAGGCCTCTGCAGTGTTCCTTCGTAACAACCACATACCCTCGAGTGAGACCACAGTTCATTCTCTTTGGGAAAAAAATTCTCTCATGATAGAACGAATCTGCGAGTAGAATATTACAGCCATTGATTTCTTACACTACCTGTGTCGTTTCTTCCTTATTTCCTTAATTGCTGGTTCCCTCAGCACTGAAGAGAGCAGATCAATTGGGTTAATACTGGAGAGTCCTGGGAGCCAGAGTACCATTGATCTGTCAGCAGGAGCAGAATCTTACCTTCCCCAAGTTTTTGGTTCCCTCTTCCACATTCACAGCGGCACTGCTGACGTGGTCTGCGATGCTGTCAATCTTCTCCTGCTGAGACTAGATGCAAAGGAATTACGAGTGAGCGGTCCTGCTGGGGAGCAGTGGGAAGCCAACACACACTATTTTAATTCCTGTAATCAGGCCCGGGTACTTCAGCCTTGCAGTCTTAATAGTGGCTCATTAATAGCATCTGATAAACCATGTCCAAAGTACAAATTCACTTTCCTGAAAAAGGAGGGGGACTTAATGATTGGGTAATAAAAGGGTGGTACCGTCATAGCAAAAAGCACCTCACACTGGAATTCACTCAAACACACAAACATATTATTCTCCAAATGAACCTACTTTGTAGGAGGAAAAGAAATCCAAACAAGCATTTACATGTCATGTTGGGTTTGATAGCAAAAAAAGAAAACAAATTCAAACAAAGTCCGTAACTTATCTTCTTTGGAGATTCTGGTTAAATCAAATTTACTTTAGGAGTAAAATGCCCTTGATACAACAAATACAAATTGTTCTTTTGTAAGAATGAGACTACAATGCAGTGTAATCCAGCAGGAAATCTTTGCACTTTTGATATGCAATAGGGAGTAATGAAAGAATCTGTGGTCTTGAGTTTTATACTAAATAAAATATAGTCCAAATTAAGATAGTACAGATCAACAATACTAATACAGCAGTCTACCTAAAACAGCAACAGCTGTTGCGATGCAGCAGTGATCATGACTCCTGGAGTCCCTGCTGGATGAATGGTGTAGCTGGGGGCTGCCATTCTCTTCTCTAATGCGTGACATCACTTCAGTGTCACTCATGAGCTCTGCTGACACCTCAGGCACAAGCACTCGGTCCTTACCCTGGAACCAGGATCTCATCAAGATCAACTTTAATTAGTTATAAACACAGAGAGAGAGAGAGAGAGAGAGAGAGAGAGAGAGAGAGAGAGAGAGAGAGAGAGAGAGAGAGAGAGAGAGAGAGGCAGGGAGGGAGGCAGGGAGGGAGGCAGGGAGGGAGAGGGAGGGAGGGAGGGAGACAGAGACAGAGAGACAGAGACAGAGAGACAGAGAGATACAAAGACAGAGAGTTAGGTAGTTAGACAGTTATATATGCACCCATTTAATGGTGAAGTAGAATAGGTCCTAACCAACGTAGAAACTCATGGGATCACTACGACCATCAGGGCATAGGTAACTTCTTTCACTTCTTTGCAGAAGAGCACAGGAGAACTCTTTTCTCTCCGCATATTGTCCCTTCCACAGTGATTCAGCTGTCTTTAATGCTAAGTCTACTGAGGCACACATCCCTCCCCCAGTGGGCGTGTCACGTGAGAACACAGGTGCCAGCGCGGTGCACGCTCTTTCCCTGCCCAACCCCGCTGTCTCCGCGGCCTCTCGTGGGCCTCCATCCCGGGTTCTCCACACTGTCTCAACATCCCTAACCTTTTCAGTCTGTCACACAAATACAGCCAGAGATCTCAAACTTGAGTAAACACTAGATCACCTGCAAAGTTTCTGGAAACACATTGTTGGGTCCTGCCACAGGGTTTTCATGTGGAATCCTGAAATGCAATCTTGAAAGTAAGTGTGTGTGTGTGCATGTGTGTATGCATGCGCGCACATGCACACAATATAGAAGAGGAAATCAGATCTCTTGGAACTGGAGTTACATGAGGTTGTGAGCTGCCTGCTGTGGGTGCTGGGAACCAAACCCAGGTCTCTGCGAGAGCAGTGCGTTCTCTTGTTTGCATCTCCATCTCGAACACTTGGAAGGCACTGCTTTCCAATATGAAACGGGCACACAAAACCTAGGGTGGGGCAGTCAGTGTTCAAATCCCACCACTGCCCTGGTATGTTCTTGGGCTATGCACTCATCTGCACACGAGGTCAGCGGAATTTCTACTTTAGTATTAGAAGGACGACACAAGGAGAGGACTGCAGACTTCCCGCAAGACAGTTGAGCGTTCCTGTTCCTGTGTAGTGTTCTCAGACAGCAGATCTCCCTTAGTGTTCACTGGACTTTCCAGCAAGACAGTTGAGTGCTCCTGTTCCTGGGGCAGTGTTCTCAGACAACAGATCTCCCTTAGTGTTCGATGAACTTTCATTTTCGCAACCGCGAAGCTCCTTTCAGTCAGCTTTCCTAGCCACAGAAGCGAGTGCGAAGCCTGCATTCCTGACACTTCAGCAGTACTCGTGTCTCCCTAACACTCCTGCCTGAAACAATCTACGCTAGCAGATAAGTCACTGCACTAAAACCCTATCACCAACTTCTACATCGTTATAGGCTAAGGCAGAGGGTGAAGAACTCCTTTCCCTTGGGCTGAGGGAGGAGTCTGCTACAGTCTCCTTGACTAGAAAGAAACAGGCAGGTCACAAGAAAGGGGCACTTGTACAGACAGAGCAGGGGCCTGCAAATATTAATATATTTAGAGTTACTGGGCCACACTGTAACCTCTCATTATCTTTGTGAATCCTTTGTTTTAAAGCAAACTATGTACACACCTAAGAGTCTAATGACTTCCGAGTGTACAGCTTTGAGACATTTCATTCATCATGTAGAGGCATCATCAGCATTACCCTATGGGAACTTTTTAGCCTACTGAGTTCAGCACAGCTGTGCATACAAACAGAGTTCCTTAACTGCATTGTTGCCCAGGTATAATCATATCCATGTGACAACAACAGAGGATGTGGCCACTCCTGTGCTCCTTGCTTACTCTGTGACTCTCTGGCCATGTGTCACAAGAACTCAATCATTCTGGGAAGAATAGCAACCACGGTTCTCCTCTGAGCTTCTGCCAAACAGCACTGGATCCCCTGCTCTTGCAGAGATGGTTATGAGTAGGGCGTCTGCATGGAGCTGAGGCTCTGGCCAGAACCTTATGTGTACGTGCTTCTTAGACTGAGTTGTGACCTGCTTACTCTGTAACATGACTGAACACACAACTGCTAATTCTCCACAAGCTGTACTCCTTTCTTTCATATGTCTACCCCCCACCCCCCCCAAGAGAAATGCATTTGTCTTGAGAAGAGCTAAATATATCTTTAGCTTGTTTTTTTAAAATCAACTTTAGTGATGTATAATTTACATGCATTGAAACACATTTAAGAGTGCAGAATGATGGCTTTGGCAAGTGTATATATTTATGTAACCATGCATATGCAGACTTTATGAACTGCATTAGAGTGAGAGATTACTAATAACAATAACTAAATAAATCTTGATTGTAAACAACATATGTGTTGGAGGCTCCTGTATCATTCCCTATCATCTGCAAAATAATAACAGGCCATAAAGACAACTAGTCTAGAGACTTCTAACATTTTTTTCTTTTGACTTAGAGACATCAGAAATAATTCAAACAATTTACTGCTTTCAATTTTAGTCATTACCATCAAGAAAATATGCATGAGATAGAACACACAAAGTACAGGCTCACACCAGACAGTCTAAAACTCACTGGTCCAGGAGAGCCTCAAAAGAAGCAAGTTTCTAAGAAATGAAAATGTGTTTAGGTAGATCAAAGAAACAAGAACATCTACCTCAAAAACTTGAAAACTTCTTATGTTGAAAGAAGACAAAAGTGCCCAGGAGAAATTATATGTCAGATTTTGCACAAGGAAGAGCTTCCTACCCTCTCCTACATTTGAAAGGATGGCTGAACACCAAGCATCCCCATCCATTCTGTCAAAAAGACAGAAGGCCGCTGGTCTGAGAGGCTGGGGCAGAACACAGAATGGAACCCTTCCCCATTCCAACTCTGAGAAGCTATGCTACAGTAGTTTCCACCTCAAAGCCAGCTTGGCTTGTAACTCATGGCCTGATCAAGAACAGGGAACTAGCCTAGCCAGAGCACAAACGGAAACGGCTTTGCACCTGAGTAAACACGTATTCGCATATGTGCTCACACGCCATACCTTTCTATAATTCCCAGGGGGAAAACAAACAAAAAAGCAGTTTAGAAAAACAATGATACAAAATCTGTCTTTTCTCCCAAAATATAATGTGCTCCCTAATCTTTGAGAACAGATTCATTCTGGCCTTAAAAGTTCTTGTCTTTGACTTTACCTTCCTCTAGCTTGGTCCTCAGAAAGTCATCTGAGCATCCTTTCACTATGCAGATAAGGGTTATTATTCTACCTACAGGTTAAATTCTTACAACTGGTTCCTAGCTTGACACCCTGCCCATTCTCTCCTCTTCATCACTGTAACAGTCTTCCTAAGGCACAAACTGGATGACAGGACTTCAGCTTGGTCACATGTCTGTACCAGCTCCTTTAGTCTGTACCAGCTCCCTTAGGCCCACCAAAGCCCCCCGAATTCAGTAGCAGCACAAGTTGGCCCTCATCAATCCTGGCTTGCCTCTGGTACTGCAGGATTTGGGTAATAGGTACACTTACTATTCTTTGACAGTCCACAGAGCTCACTATGTCTTGTCCTAGTTCAGCTGATCTGAAGTGCATCCCTTGAGGCCCTCTATGAACATCTACTCATTCTTCAAGGCTCATGTTAACACTAGCTCTGTGATGGTAGCTTTAATCCTGATGCCTCCCTTCCTGGAATACATGCCTCTTCTTGGGCTCATGAGACTTCTTTCTACACTTCACTTAGCACTTAGTTAGCATGCTTGAAAACTGAGTCTGAGAGTCCCAAACCACCTCCTCCTTCTATGGAATCCCCAAAGGCAGCAAGTGGACTTGAATTATGCCTGTATGCAACCTTGCCAGACTTCCAATGCAGAGAATCTAGCAAAGTACTTTTTACATACTATTTATTATATTGATTTAGGGACCATATTCATAGTTCAATACCATATCTAAATTATAATCTAGGCTCAGTAGTTAAAAACACTTGCTGCTTTGGCACTGGACCCAAGTTTTGTTCCTAGCACCCATATAGCAGCTCAAAACCATCTGTAACTCCAGTGTCAGGGCCTGTGGGCAACACACACACACACACACACACACACACACACACACACACACACACAGGTCTTGCACATTCACACACAGAGGCAAAACACTCATATACACAAAACAAAAGCAAATGTTTTAAAAACATGTGTCTTCTATTAAAATTCTAATAAAAAGGACAGTGACTGATCAGTTCTGAACCTCAGTTACATACTTACATTCACTAGGAGGGAGAAATCAGTGACCAAATGGCTAAGTTCAATTAAATCCTTTAAAAAGAAAGAGAGAAATGACATTACTTACTTTCCCATCTCACGGTTAGCAAGAAGAAAGTATGTTTAACGTACCGCTTCTAAGTTATCCCAGGACTCGGCAGCATTTTGGTCTCGAGGAATCTCAGGCAAGGCATATATCTGAGTCAGACTCTGAGACGCAGCTCCGGCCTCTGCAGTGGGGAGTGCTCCTGGGTGAACACAGGCCATTAGACCTTGCTTCTCAGAAAGCACAGAGCACAAACCGCCCCAAAGACAACTGGCATACAGGAAACTTGTAATTCTGTTTAGGCTAAAAGTAAATGGATCAATCTATAAAAACAGCGTATGTATCCTTGGGCAGTTTGTTCTTTAAGTGAGTCAATGCAAAGGCATTGAGCAAGACCTATCCATGCTCCTCACGCAACGGAATGGCAAGAGATAGAGGGGGAAGAGGTGGCAATGTGAACTACTACACTTGGCCAGGGTTCCGTAAGACAGCAGCAGGAAACAGTAGAGATTCTTCTGCTGCCAAATCCTCAGGCTTGGACTTAGGTATTTTAGTAACAAGGATCAGATACAACAGGTGTCAAAAGCACGAAAGTAGAGCCAACCTGACAGAGTTCAGCCCTGGAGCCCACATAGAGATGAAAGACAGAACAGACACCACAAAGCTGTCCTCTGACCTACACACACACTCACACACCACACACACACTCACACACACCATACACACACTCTCTCACACACACCACACTCTCTCTCACACACACACCACACACACACTGTAACACCACACACAATAATAAATAAACAGTAGGCTGAGGTTTACTCTATGGACGGGCACTTTGATGTCCTCGTAAAGAAGGGAAGTGATGTAATTATGTGTTTGTAGCAGTTAACAGCAGGCTCTGTTGGGGACAATCGCATCAGCGATGAGCACATTTGCCCTAGGAATGTTTTGGACACGTAACTCTGTTTACGTTCATTCTTCTTCCACGGTCTCTTCTACTTCCTTTCTAGTTTTTAAAAACTTTCAACCCACAAAAACTATTTACTAAATACTACCGTAATAACAAGGTAATATATACTACAAATATCTACCTTCAAATCTTTCTGGGTCTTCATGCTGGTTTGGTTAATCTTTCATTCATGAAACTGACACTTGTGGCATGCCTAACAGAGACACAACAGTAGGCTATAAAACCAGCCATGAAGTGACCACACCATAAGGCTAAGATTAGCACTGTGGGCCTGCTCAGAAAGACCAGTCTCAGAAGCCTGGTGTGGGGGCGTGCTGTTCCTGTTTGTAAAGGAAACTGCTGTTTACTCTGCATAGAACCTGGCCCTGCCTCTGCCTCTGCCACTGTTACTATCACGGTCAGAGCTTCCATGGAACCTGTGGAACAGAAACCTAACAGTCAAGTCCAGTCAGCATTATCTGACAACACTACGCCACAGGTCAGTATGATGTGCTTGAGTGGAAGACCGGCATTAAACACTTGTGGAGAGAGAGTGCTCAGGGGTTCTGAGGCTGAAGCCCAAGGAAAAGAAAAAGAAGGCAGGTGGGGAGGAGAGAGTGAGGGGAGATGCCCAAGGTGCCTAACTCAAGGAGAACGCCCTGGCGCTGGAAGGCGTTCGGCCTCGCTGACGCACAGACCGCTCTGAAGACTAAAGACAAGGCTGAGGCAGGCAGTCAGGAGAGACGACCTGGGGCGTCAGAAGGCTTTTCCACGGGCTGTGTCTTTCCCACACGATCACTACCAAACTGCTAAGAGGGACTGGAGGCTGCTGGGAAGCTGGAGGTGACATGATCGAGTTTAGCCGTAGTGTGAAGAAGACACTCAGGATAAAGCTGGCAGACTCGAGTGAAGCTGGTGGCTTCACAACACATCAGTGCAAAATGACGACCTCCAGCTCGAGGGCAGCGACAGCGCAGGCGCTGAGGACACCAGAACCTCTGCTTACTCTACTTTAAACTCGAAACACCTGCAATCCCACACTGACCTTTCTAAACAGTATCTGTTTAGTATCTAACAGTATCTGTGCCACGATGCACTTGTGGAGGTCAGAGGACAACTTGGTGGTGTAGGGGAAGGCCATCTCCTATGCCGGCCCCAGGGATCAGACTCAGGTCTTGGTGACAAGCATCTTTAACTGCTAAGCCATCTCACTGGTCCAACTTCAACACTGTTGTCTTAGTATCAAGAATGAAAAAATGAGTAATACAGAGTTCTATTCTCAAAGAACTTACATTCTAGAAGAATCAGACATACAAAGGGGTGATCACAAAAAAGAGAGGAGACTGCACTGGAGATAACAGAGACAGTTTGGAGGGAGTTCTAATCTAGCTTGCTGTGGCAGGTAGTTCACATATTCTGAAAAGGTGACATTACTAGGCAAAGAGGAGAGGAAATAAATGCTAGATGGAGAGGCCAGCATGAGCAAAGACCTCAAGAGAAAAGTGACAGCTCAGATACCATCGGAAGCTGGCATCATCAAAGCACGAAGGGACAGACCAGCCAAGGATAAGGACACCGAGCGAGGAAAGGCCTTTCTGACAACAAAAGGCTGCTGAAGGCTGACAGGTCTGTTAGGAAATGGCATGATGTCTCGTGACCTGGCCTATTCCTGAGTCAGTCAGACCAAACTGATTTAATTCCTACTTCCTTTCCTTTCCATTTTTTCAGCCAAGCCTAAAAGCGAACGATACTTTAAAGAACCGTGTGGTTATCTTATCTTCAGTTAATGAACACTTTATTCTTTAGATAAAAGCTTGTTTGAACTGATCAGAAAGGGCATAACCAGCTGAACAAAAGATGACAATACAGACGTCAGAATTCATAGTGGTTATTTTTCAATTCTAAATATACAGAGATTATATAGGCGATTACAGGAGTGTCACGTTGCCCATATAGCATATAGATTTTTAATATGATTTTTAAAAGAACATTTTTATTTATTCTTTGTCAACAATATATTTTGATCATGACCAGCCCAAGGCCCTCTGCCTGGAACCTCCAGTATCCTCTTCCTGTCCTCTCTTTCTTTCTTTCTTTTTTTTACTATTAAGTCTAAGCAGTGCCATCTGTATTGTTTATGATTTTATCTTAAAGAATAAACCATCAGACTCAGAGTACATTTTATAACATTACAGTAAAGAGCCAGTCTTGAAAGCTTTCAATTATTTTTTCCAAATGCTTAAAAGTTTTTAATTTTCACTTCAATCAAGACAAATGAATCAACCTATAAGCTATTTTTTATTTCACATTCCATGTAACTTCTTGATCAGTATTAGACAGAATAGAGGTAGAACTCTGTAACTGTGCTTATTCTAAAGACCTTAAGCCACAAACGATACACTGTTAGAGAAGATTCAACTGGAGTAGGTGGGGGCTATAAAACAAGAAAAGATCATCAGATATAAAAAACAGGGATGGGAATTATCTGACATTTTAAACAAACATGAAATGTTTCTGTCAGTACAAAAAGAGATAATTAGGTCATTTCTATCTCACTTGAAACCAAACTACGTATGTGTCTTAGTTACAACAAAGACGTCCTTTCTTTTCCATAGAAAACCTTGTTGTTAATTTACAACTCTGAACATCACAAATCAATTCAAGGCATGACTGTCAAGAAAGAACTCTTTTCAATTCTACGTCTGCAATTCATTTACTTCAACATGTACCTTACTGTTCATCTGTTGACTATGAACTCTTACAAACTTGTAAAGGGGTATGAGTGTGTGTGGAGTGTGTGCGTGTGTGTGGTGTGTGTGTATGTGTGAGTGTGTGTGAGTGTGACTGTGTGTGTGGTGTGTATGTGTGGTATGTGTGTTTTCTAACCTTACAATTGGATATAAAGCCTTGTTACTGGCTATCCATTCAAACAAACCTGAGACTGTTAGGTCCCTCTGGCTGAAGTGATAAGTAAACTGACTGACAATGCTCTGCCTTCTCTTTTCACTTGCTCTCTGTGAACAGCAAAGACTCTAGCAGGAAGTACAGTCCAGTACAGGAGAACCTCCTCTAACCTTCACACAGTTAGTAGTGTTTCTCTACAAAACTAAAGTCAAAGGCATTCTTAAAACTTTTCAAGTTCTGACACCTTAACATTTACTGATCATCATTGAACATAAACCTATCTATCAAAATAAGATGACTTCTAATTCAAAACTTGATAAGAAGAGGATTTTTAAATTAAAATCAACAGGAAATGGATCTGAGCACTATCAGACAAAAACATTTCTGAGTTCTGCAGAACCATTCAGCGCATGCATACACCCAAGGAAAAAAATCTACTACTGCTTCAGATTCTATATGCTGGTCTGAAGGTACCAGCACCTTTAGGACTGAGGTCTTTTCTGCTGTGAGTACTTGTTGGAAAGGGACTAAGACTCCCTTCCTGCTGCTGCTGAAGGGGCTGCTCTGCATGCAGGGAAGGGAGAAGACAGACAGGACTGCAGAGAGGCGCTGCTTCATGCCTAATGCAAGGACCTCCATTCTGAACGCAAACCACCTGGACAGGCTCATCATCCCTCCTGATGGGGAGCAATGAGAAGGAAATGTAGTCCACACAGCGAGACACAAGCGAGCGTCTGTATCAAGCAGCACTGGCAGAGATTGGCTTCTGGAACTCTCAGGATCTGGATAAAGAAATGGCAACACTCACAGCTTCCTCCTAAATTCCAGTTCTTTTCTAGAAAACATAAGATGCCCTATTCTGCTCATTCATTATTTCTGTCTGTAAATGGAAACCATTTTTGTATTTTTGATCTCATTCATGGAAATGTGGCATGATTGCTCCTGAATGTTTCCAACCGATGTATTTAGAGTCAGATTTATAAAGAAGAGTTTTAAGGCATCTGACTCCCATGCAAACAGCACACATTTCCCTGTGTAGGCTGCCGCTACTATAATGGGTATGCAAAGCAAAAGTAAGGAGAAACTAGAGGACACAGGGTAAAAACACACAGAAAGAAGAGTCCATAGCCAGAAGGCAGCCACAGCACACGCCCAACCACCGCACCTCAGGAGCCTGTGTGTGTCAGCTCGTTCCCTGTCCTCTTCTCATTACTCTCCTTTGTTAGAAGTGTTTCTGCACATACGGCTTACTCTGTGACCTCGGGAGCTTGTCAGACCCAGCTTTCCACGGACAGTGGACTTGGGGTGAGAGAACAAGCAGCCAGAATCTGAACTCTCCACTCCGGGTTAGCTATTCCTTAGCTATGTGGTGTATAAACAGAATGACGGCCTTAATCATGTCAGCACTGTGTTCTCCAAGGGCAGTCATTAGATGTCTACATTATCTGACATTCCATGACTTGAGAGATTTGAGAATTGATACTGCTGAAAATTTATTTCACATGCTGGTTCTTCTCCCTCATCTTCTGTCTAATTTTTCTTATTTCCTTAATGCGCATGCTTCCTGATTCTGCCAAGTCTCAGGTTTCACACTGGTCCTCTGCTTATAGTAAATAGTAATTGTCATGGAACGAGTAACTCCCTAGTGATACATACTCAGCTGTGTTGGCCACTAATAGTTTTGCTTGGATAAATGCATATAATGCAATGATAAAATGTAAATTAAAACAATTATTATGTTACTGTTTTCAGAAAAATCCTGGATGAATTCAAGTATTTTGCATCAGATAAAAACACTACTGATGGGCCACTTGAAGTTACATTAGGAGATTGACACCAACTACTCTTTCCAGAAAACCCTACTATCTTCACTGTCCTTACTGCCACCATTGTCAAATGTCTAGGTATACATTTACACATGGAAGTAGAAAGCTCAGTCTCTACCTATGCACAAAAGGCATCAGCTCCTATGCTACGGTAGGAGCAGCCTCCTCTGCACCACATGGTGGTGATAACCACAGAACTGTGAAAACAGTAATGACAAACTACCAAAAAGCTTGACCCCAAATATTCTTTAAGAGCTGGCTGTGGTGGCGCAAGCCGGTAGGATTTGCTGCAGAGGCACAGGCAGGCGGATTTCCAAAGAGAAACCCTGTCTCAAAGAAAAATAAATAAAGTAAAAGAAAAAGAATAATAATAATAGATAAATAAGCCACGTAAAAATGGAAAATACACAGAGAGTCTGGATACTGTATGCTATTGTGTTTTTCAGTTTTTTGATTGCTAAGGAAGGAACAACTGCTAAAGTACACTTGATCATAAATGCTGCTAAATTAATTCAACTTAGATCTTTTGAAAATGCCTTGACTTCAAAATTTAAGTATAAGGATATGTTACTTGGAAAAGGACTTTTTGTTTATGTTTCTACAGAAAATGGAAAGCCATGGATTCCTTCCAGGCTTCTGTGGTTTGATGAACCAAGACCCCCAGAAGCAATGGCCCAAGTGATTCAACATCTAAAACAGTTAAGATGATGGAGCTTTACAGACCCCGAAAATAAGGACTTATACAGGTTTCTGAGTTTTGTTGTGATCCCCATGGTCTGAACAGCGCCCCCTTCCAGCATGAAGCAGTTTGGAATGAGCGATGTCCAAACGCCCTATTGTTTATAAATCTTTGTTTTCATTTGAATGGGGTTGCTTATAATTGGTTAATGGTCATAGCCAATCTCTTTTTAAAGGAAAAATGGGATTATGGTATGGAAATGAATACTTGGTATGGGTATGGTGTTTCATTTATTGAGACAAATTCAAGGTCATTTTTGTGATGTGTATATTTCTCCTCTTGATTAAGTATTGTGCTTATACTGATCTTTTAAAACGTAATGCATAATTAAATACAGACTATAAATAGTTACTTATAATAGTCAGAACTTATAGTTAGGTAAGTTAGGTTTTCTAGATATACAGAAATATATTTGAGATATATAGACAGTCTTCAAACCTTTCAAAGACCTTCAGAAAATGGCATTTAAAATGGTTTAGGGTTTTTCTTGACAATGAGAAATGTCTGCTCCTGGCATCACCAATTACGTCTGAGAGGAAGATGGGCATTGAAGAGACTTGTTATGGAGTTTGCTTTCAACATGGCAAGATTAGCCATTTGGGCAAGAAACTGCTCTTGCCTAGACTGTTTGACTGTTGCTGTATAAACTGGACATGCAGGACCCACAGGAAAGTAACTGCTGAATTCAAACAGTCCTTCAGGGTTCCTGCTTCATGGAAGAGTCTATGCAGAGTCTATGAGACTTTATGCAGAACACAGAAAAATTACTGACAGACTGCTGATGCAGATGGACAGTTTGAAATTTCCTGCTTTTCTGAGAAGTCTTCCAGACACACTGTGGCCTATGGGCTGAAGATGGATGACCCAACATTACAGAGGAACGTCAGGTGACTGTCCAGGCAGCAAGATGTCTCTGTCAATTCTAGTGTTTATATATTATCTTTCTGTGGTCTTTGATGGAGTTGAAGACAGATAGTTATAGTTTTCCTTAGTTATGATAAGACATAAGCTACATATAAAACTTTGGACTCACAAGGATGGGATGGATGATATTTTCTTTAAATCTTGCTAAATGTTGATAGACAAAATATTGTAACTGTGTTCTTACTTGATAACTGTTCTGTTATATATAATTTGACTATGTTAAAGCTAAGACCTTTCTTTTGTTTAGACAGAAAAGAGGAGATGATGGGGGAAGTCCTGTGTATATGTCAATAAAGCACTGTTGGCCAATAGGGAAGCAAGATAGGTGGGAATAGGAGTCCAGGAGGACTCTGGGAGGAGAAACACAGGGAGTCACGATGTAACCACCATAGGGATAAGAAGCCTGGAAACTTCTCAGGTAAGAGAAATACTTAGATTAACAATTATGGGATAAATACTTAAGTCAGAGATAGCCAGTCAGAAACAAGGAAGGCCAACAGCTTCATAATTAATACAGAGTCTTGTGTGTTATTTGGGGACTGCAACACAGCAGAGCCCAGGCAACTGGCGGGGGATAAACCAAAGCAGCAGACAAGGAAAAGGCTTCTCTTTACAGCTGGGCACTAACATTTTAGCACTGGCCATGCAGAGAAGTGACCAAAGCACCTTTTTTGTTGTTGTTTGGCTGGTTTAGTTTTCTTCACTTGTGTACCCAGGATGGCCTTGAAGTCTCAATTGCTAACCCTAGTTTAACCCAAGTGCTGGGATTATATGACAGCACCATGCCTGCTCAGTAGCAGCATATCTGAAATGATAAAATTGTCCCTAACATACATCTATTTCCTTTTTTACTTGATCTATAATACATCTATGAAACAGTTCAATAAGTGTAAAACACTGTGCAAGGTACAAAGACTACAAAAGAAGGAAGGAAGGAAGGAAGGAAGGAAGGAAGGAAGGAAGGAAGGAAGGAAGGGAGGGAGGGAGGGAGGGAGGGAGGAAGGAAGGAAGGAAGGAAGGAAGGGAGGAAGGAAGGAAGGAAGGAAGGAAGGAAGGAAGGAAGGAAGGTGAAAGGCTACCCAGAAACTGTGCTAGGCAGCCTAAATGTTTCTGCATTCCCTTGCAAAGTACTGAATCATTAGCAGTGAACATACACACATTTCAAATAATCTAAATTTAGAGATAAGGAGTGGAAACAGAGTGCCTTGGTAGATAAAAAAAGGAAATTGACCAGATATAGTGTCCCTAAGTTACCATTTTAACTTCTAATTAATTTTCAGCCCATATTTTTCATGAGGATTAAAAGTCTTTTAAGAGATATAAAATGTAAGGAAATTGAATAAATTAAAAGTAAAAGATAAACAATTACAACAGAAAAGGAAACAAGGTGAGCAGTTATACAATAAAACCAACATATTTTATAAGTTTAATTTTTGGTGACTAAAAAATTTGGTTTTAAGCTTTCTAGGAGATAACTAAATTAGAGAAAACTTATTAGTTATTTATTCACTACTTAAAGATTTAAATTTAAATCAAACCACCCAACTAACCAAAAACAGCTACTTTGAAGTACTATGATGTATAAGCCAAACATTTTTTCTGCATGAAAGACACTAGCAGAATGTCACCAAGGATTATCAAATACATCCTTGGAAATGATATAACACTGTGTTCATAAGGCTGTTTCTTAGACTATGGCTTCACAAAAGTTGACACCATGATCCCACCGTAGATTTTTCATTTGTTAGTTAAATTCAGAGAATGGAGAGTAGAGAGAGGTCTGACTGTGTGAAGACAGAGTCTAGTAAGAACAGCTCCCAAACAGCCTGCCCCTGCACTGGAGAGGAGAGAGGTATACACTACACACAAGGACAATGTTATCTTTAGGAGTAACTTAAACTTTTCTTTTCAATATATGGACAAGCAAGTACTTGAGGCCCCAAAGTTCTAATCCACACAACTTTATCTTGCAAATTTTCCAGGCTACATATATCTGGTCTGTTTGGGATTGGCCAGCAGACTCACAGGGACAGACAAAGCCTCTCTCCGTTGTCCCCGAGGAGAGGGGCTGTAGCATAGGTAGGATCAAGATAAGACATAGTTACCGCCAACGGTTGTGGATCTGGTCAGGGAAGGCTGTAATAAAGCTTCTTCCTCATTGAATTGTTTCTTGAGCTCTTCAACAGACTCCAAATGGAGCTGGAGAAACTCTGCTGTGGCCACTGCTGCTGCTTCCTTAACAGGGTCGACCATCCTCTTCAGAAGAGTCAGATCATCCTTGTGGGCTTTCAAGCAAAGCTTTTCCATTTCTCGGATATTGGAGCGCAGTTGCTGTAAATGAAAAAAATTAGTAGCACCATCTCTCAATATAAGAACTATTTCTCCCCAGAATAACTTTCTATAGTGGTTATGTATCGTCTACTACAGGGGATACAATTTTTCAATTTCCCTCATCGCTCTCTTGGCTGGCCAAATCAAACATATTTAGAATCCATGCCTCAAACTTTGAATCTATATAGTAATTTTCTTTCATTGCATGTCACTAGCAATTGTACGTGCTGTACAGCTAGCATTCAGTTTGTGGGGCATATATGGAACTGAAATATTCTAAGGACCCATATGATCTGTATGGCTAAGTCACAGATACATTCTATAACCTCTGGTAAAAGCAAACAATTCCAAAATGAGTAAAGTAAAAATGGAAGTGAAAAAAAGAACCAACGGAGCAGATGATAAAAACATGTAGTAGTGGCTCAGCAGATAAGAGCAGTGGCTGCTTCTCCTAGATGACCCAGGTTCAATTCCCAGCGCCTACACGGCAGCTCACAACCATCTGAAACTCCATTTCCAGGGGATCTGATGACTTCTTCTGGCTTCCATGGGAACAGCACATACATGGTGTACAGACATACACACTACACATAAAATTAAAATATAGTATTAAGCCGGGCGGTGGTGGCGCACGCCTTTAATCCCAGCACTCGGGAGGCAGAGGCAGGCGGATCTCTGTGAGTTCGAGGCCGGGCTGGACCGATAGCCTCCGAAACAATACAGAGAAACCCTGTCTCGTAAAAACCAAAAAAAAAAAAAATATATATATATATATATGTATATATATAGTATTAAAAAAAGAAAGCACATAATAGAACAAATGATATAATCAATAATGATATCAAATATAAATTAAACAAATATTCATTATAAAATAAAGATTATTTTAAGACTGGATAAACAAAATACAAAATGACTCAAACTAAAAGAGTTAAAAAAAAAAAGCCACACAAACCTTACCATCCCTCTCCCAGGAACTACAGCAACACTACTGTCAAGTAAACAGACTTCAAAGCCAACACATTACCAGAAATAGAGGCTCTCTTCAGAAATACATAGTAACACAGACAGAATGCACACCACACAAAAGCTGACAGACCTTCAAATTGTCCTCTTTCTACATCTCTGTGGGACTATCCACGCTTGGACTGTGTGTGGGTGTGTGGTGATGCACACACATGGGGACACACATGTGACATCAAGTCTCCCTTGGTTGCTCCTCACTTTACTCTCTGAGGCAGTGAACCGGGAGTTCACTAATTCCAGCTACTCTAGCCAGACGGCTTGTTCTAGGCATTCCCTGTCTCTGCCTTCCAACTACTGTCTTTGGTCCTTATGCTTAGGTGGGCAAATGTTTTATCCACTGAGCCATTTCCCCAGTCCAAAGATTTTAAATAAATACACAGTCATGAAGAAATGGCAAGGGTATGTTAGGTATGGAGGTCTGAACAAGAAGATTAACACAGCTTGGTAGAAGCTGCTTAGAACATTAACTCAACATACTAAAAGTACATATATAAAAAATGTTAAAGCAACTTTCACAAATTTCAAAAACTGATATTATACACAGCATGCACTCTGAGCATATTAAAGTTAAATTTGAGATCATTAATGAAAATAGCCAATCTAACAGATATGGGTGGAAAATACCTGACCTACCAACATAAAACCATACTGTAGGAACAAGCCCTGTGGGAAGACATACGTCAGCAAGGAGTGACTGACAGCCAGCAAAAGAATACTCAAGTTTATGAGATCTGGGCAAAGTTAATTTATCAACTTTAAAGAAAAAGGCTGTATGATGTCATAGCATAAATTACTGTGATAAGATTAAAGAGAGTTTCACTTTCTAAAAAGTGAGCAAATAAATCCCAAGTAAGAAAAGAACGTGGCATCTAAGGAAGCAGCTATGACTGCAGGGTACCGGATGGGAAGTTGAGAATCTTGAGACGCTTACCAAACAGGAGTGGGGAGCGAGGAGAGCCAAGTGAACCCAGCAGTGCTGAGAAGCAAGGAGAAGCATGCAAGTAAGAGCCCAGAATGAGCGGAGGCTGGTAGAAAAGTTGAGAACAATAAGAGGATATAAAAATACACGTACAGCAAGAACAAGAGAGGAGGCTGGGCCACTGCTTGGGGCAGATGGTGTAATGCTAACAGATGATGCAGAGCAGAACCACTTAGCTCCTGTTTTGCTTTTGGTTCTGTATTAAGGAAAATTTCAAATTGCAAGGGGGTAAGAAACATGCCCAAAGGAAACTGTGTCACTACAGAGCTCTGACTAGGCTTCACAGAGGAGCGTGGCGTAGCCTCTGAGAAGCAGTCTTAGGGAACTAGGGCATACTAAACACAGAGCCCTCTTGTTTGCACGTCAGTAGGGCAGGACACTGCATCATTTCCACATTTAACAGCACCAGGCTGAACTAGCTCAGACACGGCCAAGTGAAGCAGCAACATCTGTCCTTCCGAGGGCGGCAGCCTGATGCTGCAGATGTCATCCGCACCGTCCTACCCTGTGTCAATTAGGACAGTGGTCAGAGATCCAGAGTCCAGATTCATTTCACAGACATTTTAAAGCAAAAATCAAGTTAAAGCCCTCTGAGCTCACAAACACCTAGAGAAGCTTCCTTCCTGCTGACGCCAGTTAGGAAGCCGCTTCTTACCTGCCGTTTGCTACCTCCCCTGCCCTCCATGTTGATCCCTTCCGTCTGAACTGTTGTCTGTTAGCCTCGTTATCTCTCTTTCCTATTGCTTCTCCCCCGGCCCAAACAGCCCTTTTGGAAATACAAAAGTAGAGCCAGTGTTCCCTCTGCCTCCTAGTAAGATCATGAGAGGTGCACTTCACATCTGCGGAGTCCCTGACTGGTGGTCCTTTTGCACATCTGTGCAGATTACAGAACTGGGTAGACTTCCTACAGGCAGTCTCCTTCCAAATGAGCTCTGAAATCTCCTGAACTAGAATCTCTAAGGTGAGCCTCAGATATGTCTGCTCCCAGCAAGTTCCACATCAACATCTGTGGAGAAACGGGGTTGAGGACATCTCTATAGAGGCCATGATGATTGTTCAGTGATTTATACAGTAATGGTTCCCAGCACCTTCACTTCCTTGTAAAAACTGGCCACAAAAAATATTCCTTAATGTTAGTATTTCCTTACTCCAGAGAAGAAAGGTGTTAAGCCTACTCTAACTACAGTTTCAAAATCTTAGTGACTGGTTGGCTTGTCCTGTTGTCCAGAGACAGCAGAGTTCTGAGGCGAGCATGGGGGAGAAAAGAAACATGTACTTACCCCTGGAGGTACCCAGGAGCTATTGTTAGAGCAGGGTTTGGTGGAAATGAACTAGAACCTGGAAGTGAGGAACCCATACAAGGCTGGGAAAGAATCATCTGAAGAGATTAAAAGAAATAGTGTCCAGCACTCACACAGAGCAGGAGGCAGCTCGTGTCTCCACCAGCAACACAGGAAACCTTTCATCTGCACAGCACTGAGGGCACTCAGAATGGCTGAGTTCCTGAAGGAGGGATAATTGAGCAGACTGAGCGCTATCCCAGCTAGCCTCCAGTTAATGACTCATTAAAGCAGGACGCAGCATTACCACACTGGTTCTGAGTAACTAGTAACATAATGGCAAGAAATACTATAGTAACATAAAAACATACAGCAATTAACAGTACCAAACATCATCAGACAGATACAGAAACAGGAGAATAGGAGCCATAATGGGAGGAGTAACCACAGGTGCAAAATAGACCTGACTGACACAGATGCTAAAGCAGTAGAAAGGGATATTAGGTTATTACAACTGCATTTCACATGTTTGAAACATTAAGTACCAATAAGGAAGATAATTAAAGAGATCCAAGTTAAAACTCTCTAGAGATGAAAACCTCAGTGTGTGAGATGAAAATATATTATAGGACTAATTACAGATTAGACACTACCACCAGAGACTTGTAAACAACAGCAGAGCATTGGGTGTCACTCAAAATGTTGGAAGGAAGCCCTTTTCCAACAGCATCAGTTAGCTGTGAGGTGACATTAAAGCGAATGCACACGTGTCTGGAGTTCTTGGAGAAGGCAGGGAGGGACAGAAGAACACACCAAGAAGAAGATAATGGCAGAAAACTCTCAAACATCAATGCAACAGTAAACTGAGAGGTTCAAGGAAGCTCAACAAACTGCAACCACGTGACAGTGAAGAAAGTGTGAAAGTTCCCGAAACTGTGACAATAGGAAAGTCACAAGAGCAGATGGACATCTTACAGAGGCACAAAGATGGGCCGAGGAAGATTCCTCACAGGAACCCGAGTAAGAGGACAGCTGAATGTCTGCAGAGCACAGAAAGGAGGGCGTTTACAGAATCCTACACATGATAAACTTTCTATCCAAAAAAAAGGTAAAAGGATTCATTTAATTAGAACTGTACTCCAAGCAATGTTAAAATCTTTAAAAGCAAGAGGAAAGTGAAAACCAGAAAGATGGATCACACAGAGGCGTCTGTAAGCACCAGAAATGCAATAACATGGGCACTGCACAGGCTTTTACACCAGCACCAAGTCACCTGACGTGACAACCAAGTGTTCTGGGCCACAGAGAGGGAGGAGAGCAGCAGCGTAGAGAGGCAGGGGGAAACACACCTGTTTACGTTTCTTAAACATGGGAAGTCCTGGAGTAGCACTTGAAAACAAATAGTAGATGAATACAGTAAACTTCTAAAGCAACAGCTGGCAACTCAAGAAAAGAGACAGTGCACTTAGAGAAAACCAGTGCTGAGAAATGCCTGTACCCCAGCACTAGGGCATGCAAGGTAGAAGCTTGAAGCTATCCCCAGTTACACAGCCAGACCCTGTCTTAATATATGCATTTTTATATATGTAATATATATGATCTATTAACTATATATTATTCATTAGGCAGATGAATATTGTTACAAGGCACATTACAGACTTATTAAAGTAAATAAAATTAAAAATACTAACTACATCAAGTGTCTACGGGGACAT